TCCGCTTACGCGTTAATAGCGCGAAATATATCGCGCGTCAATTGTCCCAAATTGGCCAAAATGGCAATCTTTAAAACCCCGTAACTTTACGAAAATTTATCACGGGTGAAATAATTTTTTTTTTCAAATTTGAGCTCAGGACAAGAATACCTTTCGAATCATATAAAAAAATTCCGTCAAAAATGGCTGTAAAACTCGAAATTTGTCTGAAGAAAAAAAACCATCCCGAGCACAAATATTCCGTTACTTTCGTATCGAAAGTCGGAACGGTAATTGCACTCCGGCTGCCTGCCCGTTTTTTTGTTACTACGGCAGACTAAGTTGTATCGACAACGTTTGTTTTAAACAGTGAGAACGTATACGAGAACAAGACTGCTCGTATCAGGGCAAAGCGAGTGCCCATTAATTCGTCTCGAATTGTTTTTGGTATTTGAAATATTGACTAAGTACAAATTTTAGGCTGATAATAACAATCTTTTGAATTTTGAGTCGCTTACAGAATTAACAAAACCAATTAGTTTGCCTCAATTCTATTTCGAACGATTATGAGTGCGAATAATTTGCCATGCATAAATAATTCGCGTATTGAAACAAACTATCAAAGTATTATTCTAGCAGCATAGCCGCACTTTAAGCAAGTGCAAGCTTACTCGCCTACAATCACAAGATTTCCGTATCGATGCCCATACGCAGTCAACTTTGCGAACATTGGTCTAAATTTAAAAAAAACGTCCCCGGGTAAATATATTCCTCCTTTCTTCGAAAGTCGGAACAAAAACCACAGCGTTTTTCGAAATTCAATTTTAATTTTCCAAGTTTTCAAAACAAATTGAACCAAACACAAGCCAATCTTTTAATTGAAGACACTTAATTGATGTAAGGTTTATATTGCAAATTGAACGTCCTTTTTAGTAATTGTGAGCAACAAAAAAAATCAATTTATGATGAAAAACTACAAGCAAGCAGTGTTTTTCGCTCCAATTAATCTCTTCCACTAATTGAGATACTCTTAGAAAATGAGTGCAAACTGCGAGTTTCATTAATGATACAATCAAAAGTCAATGACAAAGTTGCTCCAATCAATACAAACCCTAAACCCCAGACTGTCTTTCAGCTCGACATGAGTTTGTTTTCAAAAAACTGGTAAAGGTATAAACATTTCGCCCCGCTTAAGTTATTGTCATTTACATGGTGAGCATCAAAGAGTTATTTCTTGGAAGCGTAAATTAGTTTGAATGGCCAAATTAGGGCTTTTTTCTTTGTTTTTCCCTCCTGACAAAGTCGTCAGTTTTATTTAGTGACGAACGGCTTTGCAACGTTCAGTATGCAAAGCAAATAGGTCTGCATTAGCCTGCAAGGAGCGAGGAGCGATGAGTAGCCCACATGTCAACGGGTTTTTGTGATATGTAAAATTAGACAATCAAAAGTTTGGAGCCAAGGAGTTAAAAAAAAAACATTTAAAAAACTGAACAATCATATGGTACATAAGACAATTGAACCATGCGTTTACCGTTGGTACTAAAGGTCTTCGGCTGGTCGTTGACCTTGAGGCATAACCGCCATAACGTTTACAAAATGACGTCACGCGTGTATTAAGCTTGCTACATGCTTGCCGTTTCTGGGCTGCATGCTAGCGCTAGAATCTATTATGACCATTCATCCCTGGCTACCGAGGGTAAAGTTCAGTTCAACTACTTCAACATGTGTTAAGTTACCCCGGTTTCAATACGAAGTGTTTTAGTTTGTAAGGTTTTAAGTTTTGAAAGTCGACTCTAACTTTCAAAATCCTACTTGAATGTTTGTCAGCTTTTTTGAAAAGATGTTTTCTTACAGACTCCTGGAAAACGTACTAAAAGCAAGACCTTAACTGGTGCTCTAGCAGGGTAATCTTAGCAATTTTTGAAAGAAAAACGGGCCAGAAACAAAAATTTAGGCAATTTTTGAAGGCTTCTCTCCAAAATATTCTTTTTTCAACGCGCACTCCCTGGTCAAAGAGACACCTTTAGAAACCATTTTAGAGGCACCTCGAAAGGACGCTTTAGGGGGGGGGGGTATCTCCGAGGGGGGGGGGTATCTCCGCGACCGTAAATCTGCTACTGAATATAACCATAGCAGTCGTTCTCGACGTTATTAGCTGCATCGGGAAGTCCAGGAACTAATCAACACAACAGTTGCCATTGGACCGGAAAGGTAGAATAGGCAGAGGGTTACCGCCATGCAACCGCAAGAAGCTACCATTAAATCATGTGCTTATAATGTTTCTGTTCTCAGCTTCGTTGCGAAAATGAAAAGCATCGGAGATTGGAGTCCATTCCTGTCCATGTCGCTTCTCTAGGGCTGCCCCCAGGCTTACACGGAAATCCCCACACTTCATTCGTAGGCCAATAGCAAAATAACGTCATTGATCTTTTATTTGTACCCCCCTTGCAATGAGTTTGTCATCCAGTTGCCCAACAAGAGTCCATCACATGCTGGAATCCTTGTGGTATATCTGCTAAAGAAGCCATATTAGCCAGTTTTAAACAAGTAGGAATGAGGAACACCTCCATATCCACTTGCGCTATGGTTTTACGCTGCGAAGTTTTTAACCAAGCACCTTTTCAGAATTAGTTTGAGGTCAAAATTCATTCAATTCATTCAAAATGGGCATCTGATATCTGTTGAATGAACTTGCTTCTTAATCAGCTTTGAGGTCATCAAAATCAAATCGGATTCATTTCTTTTTGGGTTATGACTGTTGGTAGAAACAACCCTCTGTGTAATTTCACAATTTATTTGTGTGCCCTCCGCTATAATCTCTTCCTTTGAGAGTCCTATTACTCTTAAAGTAGGCTGGCCTTCTCATGCATGAAACGTAATTGCCACTCTACCCATCTTAGCAAAGGTTATCAGGAATCATATACGTAATGAAATATCTCGAGAGACCACAGTAGTAATTTTTTACGTTTTTGTTTTCGAAGCGGCATCATTTTAAGATACTTTTTTAAATTATTATATGGAGGAAAGAAGACGGTAAAGAAAACGATACTCTAAAAATAAGCCAAAAGAAATCAGTTCTTGAAAAATGGGCTTCTACTTTGTTTACCTCTCAATGGTCATTAAACAGTTGGAGAGATAATTTTTCAAAGCAATGCGTGAAAGTTTTATTGCTCTTGCCAACTTTGGCATCTCATTAGTTGATTGACAAATTTTTCTCTAAAAAGTTCTTCGGTTCGTAATAAGATTTTTTTTCGTAATTTACGCATTTTTCTACTTTCTTGGTGGCATCTTTTCAAACTAAGGGGCATCGGAGCTCACGAAAACTTATGAATTAATTCCTCCTTCGGCTGATGCTTGACCATTTTGCTGCTTAACCTTCACTTTTGTTTTTATTAGACAAAAGTTTTGTAATGTAGAAGTGGAAGTGATTCTAATTTGCACCCTAGATTGAGACGATAATCATCTAATACCCTGAAACAATTTCTTGTTAATTTATCTTAAATGAGAACACGACTGCTCGTATCATGAAAAACTTCTAAATGTTCGTACGATTCTTCAATGTCTATAGATATACTTTCGTTATGAAAAATAGAGAAAAGTTGCATGAAAACATTGACAAAAAGAGTCCGCCCACGTACTTTTTTTCTTATTATTTCTGACCTGAAAAAATTTATATCTTATCCGAGTTTCTGGTCAAAATTTTTTTAAAGCTTGAAAAAAGCCGATTCTGTTGAAATTCTTTACTTCGCATCTTATTTTTCTCCGAATTTAGCTAAACCTAGGCTATTACTAGCTAGAAAAAGTCTCCTGGCAGGGCTCGAACACCCGCCCTGTCATTATAAAAACGCTATGACATGATAAATAATAATACGTTTAGAAATCTAATGCAAGGCAACACTTGTTAAAACAAATGTTATTTTGCAATGTATTACTATGGCTATTGTGTATACCCGATGCATGTTTATCTCGTTAGGGTTGAGCAATGAACTTATTTCTGGTTATTTTTTTGCAGAAATTGTTCATTTCTTAACTAAAAAAAAGAAATAGATTACTTCCGTGCAAAAAAATACAAGGGAATTTGGCTAGATAATTTATATAATTTTTCGATAAAAAAAACAGCCTCCGTTGGGTACGGGCGCTGAAGCGGTCTAAAGTAAAAATTATTAGCACGAGATATATTGCGCTTTAATTATCCAAATTTGCTAGTTTGGCATTTTTCATACCCACCTTCCAATTTTCTCAAAATAAGATAACGCTAATTTTTTTTCTTTTTTAGCTCAGTACATACAGTTTTGCAGGCTGTGTTGAAACCATACGACAACCGATGCAAAACTAAAAGTCGGAATTTGTTCGGAGATAAAAAACGAGCAAAAATTGTCCGTCAATTGCTAAAATTGTCGGAACAAAACAATATTTCTTGTATTTTTGGCATCCAGAAACTTCGGCACGATGGTCCGTCACCTTTGAAACATTGTTCACTATTTTTATTCCGATTTTAAAAGATTTTTTGTGCGCTTCACAACTAATATTTTTGAAGGCTTAAAAACTCATAACCTTTGAAAAAATTGCTGCAAACTAATTGCCAATTTTTGAAAATATGAAAAAAAAATATTTAAAAATAGTTTTTAAATTTATAGATGAATTGTTGTCGTAATAGATGAATTGTTGCTCTGCCGTAATGATTGCAGAAAAACAATGATTTCTTGATGACGCAAAAATCATAAAAATTGAACAGCTCTTATAATAAAGGTTCAATAATATTTCTCTGATGGTCACAAAAAGTCATTTGAGTTAAAGTTCAACATTCCTAAAATTAAAGGCTCAATTTTGTCATTTTCAAAAATTTTTTACCAGGCCATATTTAAGGCTCAATTTTGTCTTTTTTTGTTTGCTGCTCCAAAATTTCTTATATGGTATTTTTTGCTATTCTTCAGTAGTTCTAAACCCAGTTGGTCAAAATTAACTTGGGCCTGGCTGTTTTTGTCACGCACAAAACATCAGAGCAAACGGTTATGTTTTAGATAGTCACTTCATCATCGCAAACGGACGTATTGTGAACTACCCTGTAGTCTATTGCACAGAGGCCTTCGCCCGACTGTTCGGCTACGACAGAGCCGAGATCATGTTGAAGAGTGCCTGCTGTTCGTTCCTGTTCGGGGAAATGACTGACGACAAGGCCACCACTCGGCTAAATGCCATCTTCGAATCACAGACGAAAGACAGCGTAGAACTGCTGCTATACAAGCGCAACAGTCAGTACATACTTTATATCAATTTAACACAACATAACCCCCTCCCCCCCCCCCCCCTCCATAAAAACCAAATTAAGATCCCCAGCTTTAATGTGCAATACTCGACTATACTTGACTCTGATTAGTTGTTAAACCCAATTCAGAATTAATTAAGTATCCTCCTCCTTAACCGTTGGTGGGATAGTTTTAAATTGCACCCAATTTCAATGCGTGAACATCAATTAGCCAAAAATGCGCTAAGTATCTGTGGTAACATAATGCTTCGGTCACACAGAAAAAAAACTATATTTCTGTTGCCATTCAAAAATCTGAAGTTTTGGTCTTGAATGAATGTTATTTGCTGATCAAATCTACCAAAAATGTCATGTGCAGGGTTTCAGATACATTTTGGATTTTATAAGAAGAGCCAATGAGAGTTTCCAACTGTTCTTAATCAGAAAGCACAGAAAAATTTCTGGCAGCTGATTTATGTATGTATGTTATATACAGGGGCGGATCTAGGATTTTCTCGAGGGGGGCGGATTTTCAAAAAAAATTGAAAATTTTGTCGACCTTTTTTATAGGTCGACCGAATTGATTATTCGAGCTCTCCCTAAGCACGGTTTAGTCCTGCTTTGGCCAAATTTTTCGTCTTCTGTTCATTTGTGTTTTGCAGGGAGCCCAGTGTGGATCCTGTATTACATATCCCCCATCTACAACGAGAGGGAGAAGGTGGTGTTGTTTGTGTGTACTGCCAAGGACATCACCTCTGTCAAACTACTCGAGAACGAAGACATCACTAAAGGCCGGTGTAAAACAAATTATAGCATTTTAGTAAAGTTATTTCTCTTCTAGTCGTTTGTTTGAAAAAAAGTTCCGATCATAGTAGATATGAAATTTCACTTTTGGCTGAAACAAAACAAACTTTCAAACTTTGACCAAATTTTGAATTGGTTTTAATAACAAAAATCTCAATTATAGAGAACAATTCTACTACTTTATTGGTAATTCATTTGATCACCGTTTCGTCCGTTTTGTTGTTTTCCATAAAAAATGTTGTTTTTCATAAACAAATTGAGTGATGGAATTTGAAAAAAAGCAAGAATGATCGGTTAAAAAGCAGTTTTGAAAATGATAAAAGAACCAAAAATATTGAGAACAGTTGTAAAAAAACTCATGTCTGACAAACTGTAGGTCATTTGCAAAAAAAAATAGTGGTGATTAAAAATCAAAACAAAACTGATCATATCAGAGCGAAGCCCTGAATGTTTCGACTGCCTATTAAGGTTTGTGTAGTAGTGTTCATTTTTATAAAATGAAATTTAAAAAAAAATAAAATTATTTTTTTTTAAAAAAAACTATCACCCCTACATGAAGTAAAATTGAATAATTTGCATCTAGCAAATATTTGATAGAGTAAATAGCAAGCTTCAATTCAATTTGTCACGACTTCTAAGAAGAAATAAATCGCTTCCCTCGCGCGTTATTAGCACGAAAGTCATTATCGTCCGTTTATTATCCCAAGCTAGTCATATTGGTTTTCTCTAAACCCCAGTAACTTATTTTTCAAATTATCTAATCAAAAAAATTTTCTTTTCTTTCTTTTTCCAAGGCTGAAACATTTCAACTCTCTATGACTGTCCTAAAATAAAAGTTTTCGATGATGTCTTTACGGAATTTTTGTTTAAGTCCATCCAACTTTTAAAAGGTCTTGAAATCAAACAATTTGATTGATTTTAAAACAACTTTCAAAAAACATTGAAAAAATGGTGCATATAGAAAACAGTCCCAGAAAAAAGTCCTATACAAAACAGTCCCGGTGAGCGCTCTACGCGCGTGTTGCCGCTTGGCGGCAATAATTGGCTCTTAATTTTGTATAGAGTCCTACCCTCTGTTGACAAACTCGCAACACGTTGGCGCGACTGCAGCGGTCATTTTGTTTTTATTCTATTTTTTTTCTATTTGGTGATCAAAAGATAATTCTCGGCCTGCCGTCTTGCTAAAATAATTATTACTTGGGACTGTTTTTCGGAATGCTTTGTATCTGACTGTTTTTTGTTCATTTTCATATTTTTCCGGACTAAAGCTCGATAATTGGTCTAAATAGTCTCTTATAATACGCGAACATGATTTTTTACTCTTAAATGTATGTGAGACGATTTTTAAAAACGTGAAAATCTTCAAAACTTTTCTTTATTATGAAATGTTACCAATATCTGAAACAAAAAAACTACTTCAGGCAACTTGAGGGCAGTTGGAAGCGTTAAAAACTTTTCATGATGCGAGCATACTTTTCCATATAAAAATTTTTATACAAGAGATGATCTAATGGTTTTTGTAATTTTTCGATTGAGTTATAAAAGATCTAATTTGACAAAATTATGACACGATTTGCACAATGTGAGCAGTGACGCTTGCAGAAAATGTCTAAGAAATTCAATAGTGAATGGATAATTTGAATTTGATCTTTCATTTTCACAAAATTTCTGAAGCAGCTGAAGGCTTTTTTTTCGCTCTTGAGTTCATGAAAACTGCTCTAACCACGCTAGCAATCAATTCATTTTGATTGCCTTAAGAACTTCTGAATTTGTTCTATTTTATATTTTGGTTTGGATTAATTCAGGTCTGGGTCGTTTTGCCCGACTAGCCAGAACAGTCACGCGGAAGACACCCTCTGGATTGTCCAGTTTCACTCCAGACAGCAGTATGAACAGTGCCGCCCCCTCGCCCTCCTTCGGAACGACGACAGGGGGTAACCAGAACGACCTCAGCCACAGTCTGAACAACAACCACAACCACTCCAACTACAGTAGTAGCCAACTAAGCAACAGTGCCAGCTTCAACAAACCCTCCAATGTAAGAACACACACTCCTAATTTATTATGTCATGACAAGCGTGACCTAATCAGTTGCTCAATTTAGAAAATTATTGAGTTTTTGTTTTGGAAAAACTCAGCTCCAGGGTGACCACATGGTCATTATTCAACGATTAGTCATTATTAGTCAGTATGTAGTCATTATTTTTTTTGACAGGTCATTATTTTCAAATGATTTCCTTCCTTTTATTTATAATATATTGAGTGATAGAAATATTGCTCAGAGTAGCGTATTTTTGAAGTCATTTGGTTTTTGATGGTGAGTAAAGGTCATTTTTTAAGGTCATTATTTGGTCATTTTTCTGGTTAACAGGTCACTTTTTGGTCTAATGAAATTCCATGTGGTCACCCTGATCCGCTCCATCTTTGAACATTTAGTTTTTACTCAAAAATTTTCTGCATGGGAAAAATAATTGAAGTCTGCTTCTATCGGTTAAAGTTTGATCCAAATTAGGACAAAAAAAACACGGAGTTTTCTTTGTGAAATTTCATAAACTTTTCGGCAAAATTGAGTCCTGTCTCTTAAATTAAAGCAGAAATGGAAGAGAATGGCCACTTTCTCCAGTCGCAGTCGGTCCATAAGTCAGGAAAAGGTGAGAAGACGCTTCATGTTTAAATGTGTTGAATGTCCACACATACTGAATGTTTACATGGCTTACAATAGATAGCATATTACGACTTACTAGCAAAAAAATGGCTATGGGTCATAATTCGGTGTTGTTGCTCGCCTATAATGACCAAAAAACTATTTTTGATCATTAAGCCATTGTAGTTATTGATAACAAAAAACAATGAGAAGTTCACTTTTCGAACATAAAGCTATAAGAAGTTGCAGTTTGCAACAAAAAATGAATACTTAGTGTTAAGACATATTTTTTGGTCATCGTTGACGCGCTTAAATGTGCTATGCTTAAATGTTTTTATCTAAAATGGCTTCATTTTCATGTCCTCAATCTGCGCATTATAGTTTATACTAATTGTTTCAACGGTCAATGAGTTCAAAAAGTAAGCTTACGTCATTTAATCAAAAAAATGACCTCTGAAGTATAAATACAAAGTGACCTTCATTTTTTCTCGTTTAAATTGGTCATTAATGTCTTTTTATTCATTTTTGCACATCTTTGTTTATTTATTGGTTAACATCTGAATAAGGTCTCATGTGTTAATAAACGGGTCATTAGTAGACTTGGTTTGATTTATGGTTTTATCACCAGATGGGTTTACCAAATAATTCATAACTGCTAGACGATAAACAGTGTAAAACTTCATGAGGTAGAAAATTTTTTTCGGTCTGATTTTCAGACATCAAAATAATCAAACTGCCTTTGTCTCCTCCAATGGAAACTGATTTAGGAGTTGAGTGGCTTTGATATAAAATATATCATATGATAGATCTTGAGAAAGGGTGGACTGAGAGAAGAATGATTCAACAGCAGAACATGTCCAAGAGAAGAAGAAAAAATATAATTGGAAACCACGAAATCAATACGCAACTCTCACAATAAAGCTCAAGCAATTTGCACATTTTGCCCTAAATTGCGTGCAGTAATTGTGCAAAAAACATCATGGATAAAAATTGATGATATTGGTTTTTGACTATCAATCTCTAGGTTGCCCAAAAAGAATCAAATAATCGATTGAAAAAGGATATTAATCGTGTATTTTGTCGAATCCATATAATCCTTATTTTTAATCGATTATAATGAATCAAATAGAATCAGGATTTTTTCTTGGCTCAACACACGTTGCAGTAGATAGTAATCCATGCGTTAAAATAGGTCCATATCTCTGATGTTGGGGGTGGCGTACACGGAGATAAAATCTTCGTTCGACTTCTAATTTTGCAGAGCGCTGCAAAACTAGAATAAACATTTCACATCTACAAAAAATAGTCAATTTTCATAGATTTTTATGAAGAAAAAAGTCGATTATATTAAAAACAAAATTGGATTCTTTTAAATTACGATAGATTATAATATAAAACCCCTTAAATATCCATTCTCATTTTGAAATGGGTCACGAATATCAATTTCATGACCTGAGGATTACGTTGTTTTCTGATATAATCCATTAAATTTAATTATACCCCATAAAACTCTCTGAGGGCGCTCGTAATAGGGCAAGTACCTGATTTTTTTCATTTGCTTTAAGATTTCTTGTAGTTTCTCTAGATCGAAATTTAAATAAAGTTGAAACATTTTTAATTTAGTTGTGCTGCTAAAACTTCTCACCATGAGCCATGTCAAGAACAAAGCGATATATTTCTTACATTGGACTGGACATGGTTAATTTGAGGAAAAACATGCGTTCTCTGGGTCGACCGGATCTAATTCACATCTTTCCCCCTTTGCAAAAAAAGGGGAAGGAGTTTGTAAAGTACGATAAATTGATCAGATTTTTGGCCAATCAGAATGTAGCAAACTTTTTTGTGCTGTCTTACATTTTTTGTTTATAGGGGTGGAAATTCTGAAAACAAAAACACAGGGGAGACATAGTTAAATAGATCTGGTCGATCAAAATGATTTTGAGAGCTCCTCTAAAACCCTCTAGGACCCTCTAAAACAATTTTTTACCAAACATTTCAGTTGAAAAATAAAGCGAGAAGGTGAGCAACCATTTCTACTCGTTTCTTGCTTCCAAATTTTTCCTAAATGTACCCCTTTGGTGCAATTCTAAAATATCTAGTTTTAGTTGAACAACTACAAATTTTTTCTTCTGGCATTTTCGACGCTTATAAACACTAAATTAAATGAGGGCGTACTCCCACAAAACGCGTATTTTTTGGAAAAGTTTTTATATTTGGATCAGTTATGTTGCCTCAGTCTACATAACTAATTCAATTCGCCGTAACGCCACGCATTAATAGAAAACTCTTAAATAGCGCGCATTAATTACTCCAAAATAATCAAACAAAAAAATTTCAAATCCTCGTAGCTTTTTACAAACGGTCACAAGTAAAAAGTTTTTATTCTGATTTGGAAAACATCAACATTTTTAAGGTACCGACAAATCTCAACAAAAGAAAATTAAAGGAAAGCGACAACTCGCAAACTTGTGAAGCTAATTGGAAACTTTACATTCTCGGTTGAAGGTCACTGGTGTCTTAACCGTCTCTAAATTTTGTATAATGTCCTATCCTCTGTTGGTAAGCTCGCAACACGTTGGCGCGACTGCGGCTGTGAATATATTGCGATCGTCTTTTAGAGCGAGTTGTCTTTTATTGCGAGTTGTCGCATTACCAATTTTAAACATTTTACCGGTGAAAAAGTTTCTTTTAAAAAATTAATTTTCATTAATGTCAAAATTAATCTGAAAAAAAAGCCGCGCCAAACATATATTTTTTCAAAAGTCGTATGAAAAATTTCGACTATGCCGTAGCAATCAAGTTAGCATTTTTTAGCTGGAAGTGGAACTCGATTTTAAATGTTTCACTGAAATATTATTCACGGCAAACACTTAATAGCCAGGTAAAAATAGTCTAGTTTGGGACCATTCTGCTCAGTGCTACCCCTCCGACCCATTAACTTTACATAATTGAATGTGAACAACATACGGGATAGGACAAAAAAGTACTCGATATAAATTACGAACTGGATAGCAATGATTAATTCTTTGAAACACGAGAAGCAAAAAAAAACAAATTGGGAGGGTTGTATTGAAGTTGAGGGGAGGCTACAAACAAAGCCAAATGTTGAATATAAAATCTATGGGTTCATCAATTTTAATTTAGTTTTACAACGCAATGGAATTGAAAAGGGTGTATATGAGAGAGATTTCACTATTAAATAAAACTAATAAAAGCATGAAATGACTATAAAAGCTATTTTAGATTTTCAGAGCACTTTTTGTAGAGAACTTATAAAAAAATACTTTTTTGAAATTCAAATACTTACAAATATTAAAGCATTCTCTTGTTTATACAATGTTTTGTATGAGCGCTGGTCTAATTAGGTTTTTGAACGTTTTCAAAAGGAAATAATGACTTTATGTCCTAAATAGAACTACTGCACTAGCCATGGTCAATATCTTCCATTTGAGCTGAGTCATAAGGGGGTGAGGGGGTGAAGTGTTTCCTGCTTTGGTCTGTTGGGGTGTCTGGTCCATACTACTCCTATACCACTCTCTCACATCATTCACAGTGTTGTTTTGCATAGTGGCCTCACATTGTGCGTCCGAAGTGTCCAGTTTGGCAAAATTCTAGAGAAACAAAAACATAACAAGTTCAACACTAGCTGATAGTTATGGAAGATTTCTTTGTTCTATTCTTCCGTTGATGGTTACATTGGTGAGAAAAAAGCACTGCATTTGAAATTTTAGAGATTTATTTAGATTATTCAAAAAATTCCTTTGAATACCTGGTAAATGGGTTTTTAAAATGAGGGCTCCGATTCGAGTGTAATTGATAATGGCGTACCTTGTTGCACCCATCGCACGTGCAACAGATGCTAGTGCAACTCCAGTCTGCCATGTCTGCGTCCTGTTTGCCAGTGGGAAGGTTCACCCCGAAGATGTTGCGAAGGGTGTTGTAGCAGAAGCGTCTGAGGAGAACCTGGCTGGAGGAGACACACACTTGTCGGTAGTGGTCGTCCTCTTCTCCCACACAGCCCCGCAGGTAGTAGGGCTTGATCGACTACCAATCAAACAAAAGGTAGAGCCAATTATAATAACGCAATTTTATGGTCTAAATTTTCGGCTCTTTTCCAGTCCCCCACCTTTCAAATTCAATTTTGAAAAGTCTATTTAACGTTGTCACAATGCAATGAAATTTGGCGTGGTGAACAAATCGACAATTCTGAACGGATTTGTTCTTCAAACTTTACAGCGTAACTTCACGCATTTAGCCGTAATAACACGTAAAACAAATATAAAACTCGTTATTTTGAAAGGGGGGAACCGGAAAAAAGCCAAACTGATCAAATTAAGGTTTTTATATTGGTTGTGGTTTGGGAGAGCTCAGAAAATCAATTTGGTCGACCTAAAAAAAGGTCGACAAATTTGTTTTTTAAATCCCCCCCTCGAGAAATTCCTAGATCCGCGCCTGCTCATGAGCCTTCTCTTTGTTCTTTTTAGCCTATGAACTTAGCCTATGTCCAATTGAATTATGTTTTTTTTGAGTTTATTCAAAAGTTCAAAACATCTGAAAATTGTTCATGTGAGAAGAGGGTGTTTTTTATAAATTGTTGTGCTATTGTTACGCGGGGTATGTTTTAAGAGGACAATAGAAGCAAGAGGACTTTAAAAAGAAAGTATCTCCTACCGGATCTTTATTGTACATCTTGACCACAGCACAAGCCTTGCTGTCTGACTTGTAGCACTTGGCCAGTTTGCCACCATTGGACTCACTGTGCACACACTGCTCAAACGTAGTCTGCAGTTCCTGAACAACAAGCATAACACTTCAAAACTCACCCCATTTCCCCTTTGAGCTACTTAGGGAAATTGTAATCTGGCAGATTTGCACTAAACAAGGGCTCTTTCGCAAAATAGAGAAAGAGCCTAAATCTGAAATAATTACGGTACCTTATCCAGATTGAGCACTGGCACTGTGCACCCATAACACGACAACTCGGCCGCGCATTCCTCAGTCGGCTCACCCGACATGGAGTCGCAGTAGTCATCACACCATCCGACACTAACGAGGAGGAACAGTAGCACAGGTGCTAGTAATAATTGGACCTTTCCAGAAGGTTCTAGAAGGAACCGCCGTTGACGTAATACCATTTTTGAAACTGTTTGATTGAAGTCTATAGGCTTTTGCTTTTCAATAGATGTCTCCGTCTTCTTAAGTCTCTGTTGCAAAAACAAAAGGTTCGGTTAAGTAACGGATTGATGATTTGCGTTCTAAGCTGTTCTAAATCCAAGCTCAATTTCAAATCGCAGCTGACTTTTCTCAGTCGTTGACATTCCCAGTGTGAATCTTCTTGGTTGATTTGGGTTCCATTTCTAACGACGCACGTGCAAATGGCCAAAAGCTCCAAGAACTTATAGAGTAGTAGACTGTTTTGAATTAACCGCTCAACGATTAGTAAAATAGTCTAATTCGTAATTCGACCGGCTCTTTTTCCTCCCACTTGCAAATTTTTACAAATGAAAAAATTGTTCGCATTGTTCGATTCTTGTGAAAATTAGCATACGGACTAGTAAGGCCATGGCAAACATATTTGGTCTTCATAATTAACTTGTAATTGATGCTAGTGTGAGGTGGGGAAAAGAACAAGAGCCTTTCGACTTAATCGACTTCATTTTGTTCATACTTTAATGTAGATCTATTACTTTATCCTTTTCCAAAGTTTTCAAAATTTTGTGAATTGTTAACTTTATTGCTATTTTAACTAATCAACATGATTTTTACTACAAACAATTTTCGATGAACCAAAAAGCTCTTTCCAGGCGTTCTTTTGGAGCGAGACGTTTGTTTGGCGTATTCAAACAGATTTTGGCGACTTAATTGGAAGTTATATTAAAAAAATACTTTTCGGGCAAAAAGATCAGAAAAATCGAGATAAAAAATCAGACAAAACGTTCTAACAACAATCAGCTTTATAGTTCAAATATTTGTTTGTAAAATTCGGGTGCATAAAGATGCATAACATAGAGATAGAGATGATTAGTCTTGCCAATTAGACCCCTGAACTACGCCAAAAATACGAAGAAAACCAAATTTCTGTAGTTTATCTGCCCGAAACAATTTATCAACATTTTGTGATCTGGAAAAACATTTGAAGTTGACTTTTGACGATTTGCTAATTCAAAAATTTTAAAGAAAAAATTCAACCTTAATTCATCAAGACTAATTTCATCTACAAAACGGCCAAAGAGTGCATGGAAAATTATACCAAGAGACAAAAAAGTTTGCATTTGAAGCTTCTGAAATGAATCATGATTTTTTTTCAAAATTACAACCAAAAACGTCATTGAATCAGTTTACTTAAATATTTGATATCTGAAAAAGACAAAAAGTAATCTTCGAATTGACTTCTTTAGATGAACTTTTTATGATTTCTTTTGACTTTTCGCTAACTTTTGAATCTAAAACCTAAATTGGATCAGATGTCTCAACAATGACAAGTTTTGTCATTATCACTTTGGAATCAGTTAAATTACAGTTCAATCTGCTTGATTATGATTACACACTTGACGCCGAAAGAAATTTCCTTGGGCATACTGAAACCTTCCAAATGTTGAACTTTTAGCTGATGAATACAGCAACCGATCGCTAGATGAAATTTAAGTCATTGCCAGATTGAAGAATGCAAAAAATATTTGAATCGAAATTTAATCAAATCAATTTTGTAAGATTTTTCTGAAAAAAAAGTTGTTACTAGTATAACAAATTCTAACTTTCTACTTAACTTGAAAAACCTTTGCGCCTTTGCTCAGCTTTTCTCAACTGATGCGCGCTTCTACAGCTCCACCCATGAGAATATATTAAAATTTTTTGTGCCGATTTTTGTCAAAAAGGACGGAATGTTTGTGCTCTGGATGGCTGTTTCTCCGGAAAAATTTTCTAATGTTTTTTTTCTAGCATTTTTGTCTGAGTTTTTTATATATTCTGAAAGACTGAGTTCAAAACTAAAGTGATATTTCATCTTTGGTATTTTTCTTAAAAAGTAAAAAAGGATTTGAAAATTGCCATTTTAGCAAACTTGACATAGTTAGCGCATATGGGTCGATTTAAGCCCTCCCAGAAAGCATTCCAAAACTGAATTAAGTGTCAATCTTTTTTATCAGGGTTGGGAAGCTATTTAACATTGTTATTTAACATTCAATTTAACTTACAATGTTATTTACAATTTCGTACAGTGATCTTAGCTGTTTCTTAGAATTGTGTATTTCTTAGAAAAACACTCCGCTGATAACTGTGTTTCATATTGAATATCATTCCGCTGTGGGGACATAATATGAATTTTTATGTGTGCTGAATTTTTTCAGTACGTTTTCAGTTGTTTTATTTTTGGAAATATTCGACGAGATTTAATTTTTCTCTTTAAAATCTACAGCCTAAACGTCGAATGACCTTGTAAACATCCAGGAATTTACTTTGATACAAGCTTTCTTGTTTTTTCTTAATTTTTCAGAAAAGTGACGCAACAATTGTGCTCGACTTGGTTCAACTAGGCCCTTTTCAACTATGCTCGATAGAATTTTGTGTGTCAGTTTCTTATCTATAAACAAGATAAAAATTCAAAAAATCCTTTTTTTTTTCATTTTTTTTATCTTCAATCTCCTAATCAAAAAATTTTCCATCAGGGCACTAAAAGGCAATTGGAACAGTCCGGATTTCGCCCGGATATGCGCACTTTTTTTGTTTTCTGCTGATTTTGAAAAGCTTTAGACATTAATTGTCTATTCAAATGTGCAATTTCAACTCAAAAGTTTGTCGATTTATTTTTAGGTTGACCAAAATGATTTTTCGAGCGCTCTAAGAAAATTATAAAGGCCGTATTTAGACAAAAATTTCAAAAATGCCGTTCCTTTTCAAAATTATCATATATTGGCGCCAAAGGAGCCTTCAGAGAAGTTTAACGATTGGTCAGCCAAAAATGGATGTCATAAAAATAATACCAAAGAGGGAATCCTTTGATTGGTTAAGGGGTCGAATCCATGAGGGGGGACTCGACACCCTTTCAGTTCGAAGGGCTGGAAGTTTAAACAAATTGAGGATATCCGTTTGTTGTTCATATTCAGCTCATCGTTCCTTGTTGCAAACATGAGAAGAGATTGTTGGAAAGAAAAGAGGAAAGACATCATTGAGAGGAGACAGACTATATTTTTCACTTAGTAAAAAACTTTTTGGCATAGAATAATACTTGACTTAAAATAAAAGGCTTTGATTACCCAATATCATTACCATCAAACATGTTTAAGTGACAAGTAGAAGAATTTAGAAGAATTTCACAAGTTTTGTACTATAGCAAACTGTACTTTTTTTTCAGGACAAACGATTTTACTATCAGGAGATGAAAGTGAGAAATTTCAACCAAATCAAATTCATTTTCAAATCCAATGTAGAAGAATTAAGATAATTTGGTCATTTTAGCTGTTCATGGTTAGTGCGTTTGTATATATCCAAAAAGGCGCCATATTATTTGACCTTCATATTAACTTTTTGTGTATAAGATGTTTTTCATTGCACGCAGAAGCGCAATCTATAATTTTTGAGTTATTATGTTTAGAAGGTGGAATGATCCCATTAAAACAACGCTGATTTTTAATTCAATTTTGAAAAGCAAAATTGCAAAGGTGCGGCCTAAAAAAAACAAGACATTAGTTTCCTAGATACCCTAGTTTTAGCTAACCATAAAAAAATCATGGTCAATTTAGCAAGCAAAGATTTATTTCAATGATCAAAACATTATCTAAAATAATTAATAATTTTTTGCAATACAAAGTACATTTATTATGTACATTTATTTACAATAAATGCGACGCAAAATCGACAGCAAGGAAAAATACTCTTAAGGAGAAACCATTAAAATTGTGAACATAAGCCCATAATTGATTATCGAATTGTCTAAAACCGGCCTACTTTCTAGCTTCAAAATCACCCGAAATTACCCAATCAATCAAAAACACATAAGATTTCAATCAGTCTCAAGTTTAGGCTGGTACATTCATGTCATCGAAATACAGTTATAAGTCCTTCTTAATGTCAAAACTTAAATTAGGATAGAAAACCATTCAAAATCAGGAAAATCATTTTTTTTGCGTTTTTATATTTTATTTGTTTTTATGTTATTATTTCATGTTTCAACGTCATATCGAACAATATTTTTTGTCCAAAGGAAAATTTTGAATCCAATGACAAAAAAAAATTGTTTTGAGTAAACTTCAAATTTGACACAATGGTTTTTATGATAGAAACTGAACAACTAAAAATCTGGCAAAAATATATTCTACTCCAAGCTGCGAAAAAAAGCTAATCATGATTGCGTCAAAGTTCCTTTGATTAAAAAAGTTTCTTTTAAATTTTTTTTGATTTGTTCAGAAAACTTTAAGTTCTAGAACATTCTTGTATGTGATGATGTAATCTGTTCAGACGTTCACTTCGCAGCTGGAGGAGATAGAGTACCCGAGGTACATGTTGGAAGCACCCAAGACACCGCCTTATACCATTCTTCACACATCCACATTCAAACAGACGTGGGACTGGGTAAGTCAGGCATCATTTTTAGTTAACCAGCTAGAGCCCTAACCAGAAGGTTAAGTATTTAAGGTTAACTAAGCTCTGGCTACTTTACAAAAGCTCACCTTGTAAATTGCAACGCGCGTGCGATTTGAACCCGCAATCATATAATTGCTCGGCACCATCAATACCGATGCGCCACAACGCCACGTTACATAATGAACTCATATAATTGGATGAACGAGGCCTTTGTAGTGCGGTCAAAAAGCAGACAAGTCTTAAAGCAGACATGTCATAAACCAAGCAGAATCGAGATGAGAAAAGAAAACAAACATACTAAATTAATATTTGTTTATTGTTCTTGCGTACATTTGTTCTCTATTTCGATTCTGATTGGTTAATGACGTTTCTACTATATGAACCTGTCTAATTACTTATCCAAACCGAAAGCACCTTTGCAAAGACATGTGCAAAGTGAGGCGAAAATTGAATACTTAAGCACTAAGAAAATGATGACATTATCGGTTGGAAACTGTTCAAACTACCGAAGAAATGTTCACCTAACATGAGAAAGCGTCCATTGCTGACGATCCTACACCATTTTGAAAAAATTGACAATTATCTAATTTGAAATTTATAAATGCAGTTTTAGGCGTGCGCTACCCCAAAATTAAAGGTGGGGTCTTCAATGCCTTCCTGTTGTCTTTGAGAACCATATAATTTTCTCTTCTGACCTGAGTACATCACAAAATTACTTTCATGTACCGTATAAGGCTTCAATGATGGATTCAAGAACACATACATGATTAAGTTTTTTAATCATGCCCGCTTGTAACGTATTTTGTTTCCTGGCTTTTCAGAATGACATGGATAAATCAGGAAGGAATACCAGTTAATTTATCTCGCGGTGTCAAAGAGGAAACCAGCGCAGAAGATGGTAAAAGAATGAAGTACCAATACCAGGGCAGGCAGGGCTTCTAATGAAACCCTTTCATCACGGCTTGAATCAATCTTTTTAAAAGGCAGTAGTGTTCATAACTTGCATGGACTTAATCTGCAGAAAGATGTCTGAGTGGTGCATTGAATTTTGGGCGATCAAGTCCGTCTTGTCCGTGTTTTACGAACAGAATGACTATTTGTCCGCCGCCCTAGAAAGTGGGATTCTCAAAGAGTTTTTGTTCCCATCATCCCTGCAAAAATATTCCAATCCACCATGACTCACAGACTGGTGTAATTAAAGAAAACAAAAGATTTTTTTTTCCGATTTTCTTTCTCGCTCAGCTGATTGGATTTTGAGTTTTTCGCAACTAATTTTGCTGCAAAAACTTCTTTAAACAGTTTTCTTTCAGTCACTTTGACTTAATTGTTACCTAAAAATAGTAATTTCCTTGCTTAATTTTTTTTGTTCTAAGAATTAGTACTCAAAAATTGAGTAATTTTTGTTTTTGTAAATAACCCGAAACTCAAGCAAAGGCGATTGACATGGGCGGATCTAGGATTTTCTCGAGGGAGGGGGCGGATTTTCAAAAAATGTTTGAAAATTTTGTCGACCTTTTTTTTGGTCGAGCAAATTGATTTCCCGAGCTCTCCCAAAGCACTAAAAAGAGTTCCTGTTGTGGCCAAATTTTCCTGCACCCCAGGTAAAACTTAAAAAAAACAGGCCAAAAAAGCATTTTTTAGGCACTTTTTTGGACAATTTTGACCAATAAACTGCGTTTTTTCGGCGCGCGCTCCCCCTCAAGTTTGTAATATATTGGCGCGAATGGCGCCTTCAGAAAAATTTTAGAGTCCGTCACCAAAAATTGATATCTTAAAATAGTACAAAGGGACGACCCTTTGATTCGGCAGGGGGTCGAATCCCGAAGAGAAAGCGTCCTCCCCCCCCCCCCCCCCCCGCCCCCTAAATCTGCCTCTGGCGATTGATTATCTCTCGTGTATCGTGTAAGACTATCACCTGCTTCATTCATTACCTCAAAAACAGATTGGTTTGCAGTCTTTGCTCGTGTTGTAACTTGTGAGTCTGTCTGTTCAGGTTCTGTTCATGCTGACAGTGTACACTGCAATCATGGTGCCATTTGAGATAGTGTACGAGGTGGCCCAGGAGGATGTGTTCGTCGGCATCATAGACTTGTGTGTGGACACTGCATTCATCATAGGCTAGTCTTATATTCACAACACATCCACAGTTTGGGATATTAATGCTAACATCCACAAACCCGCCCTCCTCCCTATTTCATACGGGGAGAGGGTAATCAATACATGGTGTGAATTTTGAACAAGGTCAAACGTTGAAGGGCGTGTAAAGTTATAGGCTGGAAATCAGGGGCCTGTTAAGGAAAGGGCGTAATGAGGTTTCGGTTTGGGCGCCCTCTTCCCCTCAGGAATTTGACCCCCTCGCTACTCAAAGGGCCAATAGTTTAGCACTATTAAGATCCATTTGGGGCCGACCCTAAAAGTTTTAAAATGCGCTAAAACCTTGCTAAAAAATCTGAAAAAGGCTATTTTGGTCCATTTCTTCTTCTAAAACTTGCCTGCGGCCCAGAAACTTTCTGCGAAAGAGTGTCTTTATGGTGTTTTTGGAGAGGTCCAAAAATTAAATAGGTCAACTTAAAAAAAATAACAAATTTCTCCCCCTCTCAAAAAAGTCCCAGATCCTCCCTTTGGTACAAACTTGTTACAAGAGACCGCGAAGGAATTGTGAGCAAATCTTTATTTGTGTTATGAACCAATTATTTCGTTAAAATCGATGTTTCTTGCTTAGACAATTATTGTTTCGATTTTGATAACAAACGTAACGGAATATTTGTGCTCGGGTGGGTTTTTTTTCTTCAGACAAATTTCGACTTTTTAACTGGCCATTTTTGACAATTTTCTAATTTATTCAAAAGGTATAGTTAATCTAAGCTCAAATTTGGAAAATAATTCACCTATGATCTTCTTTCGTAAAAATATGGGTGTTTAGACATTGCCATTTTGGCCAATTAGGGACAATTAACGAGCGATATATCTCGCGCTTTCAACGCTTAAGCGGATATTTAAGCCTCAAAAAAATTGTTGCAAATGATTTGAAACAGGCTATTTGTCTTAGTTTTTACTTTACTAGGAGCAAAACCTATCACTTTGTACTTTATATGACATGTGGGGGATGAAGTAGAAAATAACTCAAAAATTTTGAATTTTTTTTTCTAAAAATGTCAAAAATTTTTTAAAGCAAACCTTACTTCATAGACATTAAGAAACAGTCGGATCAACCAAGATTTTTATCTGATACGAGCAGTCTTGTTAACATTGTAGCTCCCGGGTTGAAAGCCGCGACTTACCCTGAACATTTGAAAATTGCATCATGTCTAAACCCAGACCCAAATTGCATAGTCGCGACCAGATTTTGGGTCGCAAAAATCTGAATTCAGGTTATATATCAGCAAAAATCCAATTATATGAAAACTTAAGGGCAGAAATCTTGAAAATTGAAACTAATTTTGCAAAACGTTTTACATGAAGCATAAAGTCACCAAAATCTGAACTTAAGAAAGCGAAAGTTTGAACATAAAGTCGAGAAAGCCTCGACATGCATTTTTCCAACAACACATTATCTGTGCGATATAAAGACCTGAACCGAATCCATGCATGATTTCAAACAGATGTCCAAAAAAATATATCCAACGTTTAATATGCCTAATTTAATGAATAATTTGTAGGAATTATGAAACACAAAAATTATATACAACTGACGCATTTTTTGTTGACAGATGTAAGCAAGACTGCTCGTATCAGGGTGGAGTCCTGAATATTCTGACTGCTTTTTAAGTTTTATGGAGCAGTAAAAACATTTAAAAAAATAAATGTAAATAAAAAAATGAAATTTTTTTTTCTAAAATTTGATTTTTTTAAATCATCACCCCACACGTCATAATAAGTACTAAGTGATAGACTTTGCTCCTACTAACCAATCAGTAAAGGCATATAAGCTTCCTTGAAGCAATTTGGAACGATTTCTAAGACGGATTAAATCTCGTTTACGCGTTAATAGCTCGAAATATATCGCGGGTTTTCGACAAATTTCGACTTTTTAACTAGCCATTTTTGACGATTTTCGATTTTATTCAAAAAGTATAGTTAATTTGAGCTCAAATTTGGAAAAAAAAATTTACCTATGACTTTCTTTCGTAAAAATATGGGGGTTTAGACATTGCCGTTTTGGCCAATTAGGGACAATTAACGAGCGATATATCTCGCGCTTTCAACAATTAAGCGGATATTTAAGCCTCAAAAAAATTGTTGCAAATGATTTGAAACAGGCTATTTGTCTTAGTTTTTACTTTGCTAGGAGCAAAACCTATCACTTTGTACTTTATATGACATGTGGGGGATGAAGTAGAAAATAACTCAAAAATTTTGAATTTTTTTTTCTAAAAATGTCAAAAAATTTTTAAAGCAAACCTTACTTCATAGACATTAAAAAACAGTCGGATCAACCAAGATTTTTATCTGATACGAGCAGTCTTGTTAACATTGTAGCTCCCGGGTTGAAAGCCGCGACATACCCTGAACATTTGAAAATTGCATCATAACTAAACCCAGACCCAAATTGCATAGTCGCGACCAGATTTTGAGTCGCGAAAATCTGAATTCAAGTTATATATCAGCAAAAATCCAATCATATGAAAACTTAAGGGCAGAAATCTTGAAATTGGAACTAATTTTGCAAAAAATTTTACATGAAGCATAAAGTCACCAAAATCTGAACTTAAGAAAGCGAAAGTTTGAACATAAAGTCGGGAAAACCTGGACTTGCATTTTTCCAACAACACATTATCTGTGCGATATGAAGACCTGGACCGAATCCACGCATGATTTCAAACAGAAACCCAAAAAAATATATCCAACGTTTAATTTGCCTAATTTAATGAATAATTTGTAGGAATTATGAAACACAAAAATTATATACAACTGACGCATTTTTTGTTGACAGATGTAAGCAAGACTGCTAGTATCAGGGTGGAGCCCTGAATATTACGACTGTTTTTTAAGTTTTATGGAGCAGTAAAAACATTAAAAAAATTAAATGTGAATAAAAAAATGAAATTTTTTTTTCTTCAAAAATTTGGTTTTTTTTTTTAAATCATCACCCCACACGTCGTAATAAGTACTAAGTGATAGATTTTGCTCCTATTAACAAATCAGTTAAGGCATATAAGCTACCTTGAGCCAATTTGGATCCATTTCTAAGACGGATTAAATCTCGTTTACGCGTTAATAGCTCGGAATATATCGCGCGTTTTCGACAAATTTCGACCAATGATCTTCTTTTGTAAAAATATGGGGGTTTAGACATTGCCAATCTGGCCAATTAGGGACAATTAACGAGCGATATATCTCGCGCTTTCAACGCGTAAGCGGACTTTTAAGCCTCAAAAAAATTGTTGCAATTGATTTGAAACAGGCTATTTGTCTTAGTTTTTACTTTACTAGGAACAAAAATAATCACTTTGTACTTTATATGACATGTGGGGGATGATGTAGAAAATAACTCAAAAATTTTGAATTTTTTTTTCTAAAAATGTCAAAAAATTTTTTAAGCAAACACTGCTTCATAGACATTAAAAAACAGTCAGATCATTCAAGGTTTTTTATCTGATGCGAGCAGTCTTGTTAACTTTGTAGCTCCCGGGTTGAAGGCCGCGGCTTACCCAGAACATTTGAAATTTGCATCATGTCTAAACCCAGACCCAAAGTCTGAATTCAGGTTATATATCTGCAAAAATCCAAATATATGAAAACTTAACGGCAGAAAGCTTGAAAATTGAAACTAATTTTGCAAAAAATTTTACATGAAGCATAAAGTCACCAAAACCTGAACTTAAGAAAATGAAAGTTTGAACATAAAGTCGGGAAAGCCTGGACATGCATTTTTCCAACAACACATTATCTGTGCGATATGAAGACCTGAACCAAATCCAAGTATGAATTCAAACAAAAGTCCAAAAAAATAAATCCAACGTTTAATATGCCTAATTTAAAGAATAATTTGTAGGAATTATAAAACACAAAAATTTTATACAACTGACGCATTTTTTGTTGACAGTTGTAAGCAAGACTGCTCGTATCAGCGCGGAGCCCTGAATGTTCCGACTGCTTTTTACGGTCAATGGATCACTTAAAAATCATCCTCCCACACGCCATATAAATTACAAAATGATAATTTCCGCTCCTATTAACAAATCAATTATGGCACATGAGCTTCATTCAAACAATTTGGAACGATTTCAAGACGTATTAGATCACCGCTTAATCAATAGCGCATCAGTTTCCCCAAATTGGCTAAAGTGGCAATCTTTCAACTCCCATAATTTACGGAAAACGATCATTTGTAAAATATATTTTTTTAATTTGAGCTCAGAGCAACAATATCTTTTGAATGATATTTAAAAAATTCCAACAGATATAGCTAGTTGAAAAGTCGAAATTTGTCTTAAAAAAACAACCCCAAGCACAAATATTCCGTTACTTTCGTTACGAAAGCCGGAACAATAAACGTTTAATCTGTTGTTGAACTTCCCTAACTAGGGGAAATATTTCAGGCTTTGTTAACGAATTTCTATTATTTTCAATAAATGATTAATCTAAGCAAGACTGCTCGTATATCAGGGTCAAGCCCTAATTATTGAAGGCCCATAAAAATTGGAAAATATCAAACTGTGAAATATTGAGCAGTAGCAAATTAATACGACCGATTTGATTAGCCTTCAATTCAATTTGGAACGATTTTGATGTATAGGATAATTCGCAATGCAAAAATAATTCGAGTTATGCTCTCAGTAATATGAATAAATTCCTCAAAGCGCGCATAATTTAGTTCAGAACATGGGCATTTTGGCAAGTTTCAAACCACCAGAACTTTATAAAAACAATTGAAGCTAAAATATCTTTTTAAAATTGATTTCAGGAAGTCGATATCTTCAATGGGGTATAAAAAAAATTTTGTCGAAAATTATTATTTCAAAAATTGACTGAAAAAAAACCACACCGAGCATAAATATTCCATTTTCTTCGAAAATCGGAACAAGAAGCTGCAACTACTGATTTACGCGCAATATAACATACGTGCCGAATGTAAGCACAGCAGAGAAAGTGGTTGCTACATGCCATTCCCGACTTTAAAAACAGCAATTTGTCTTGTTAATTGTGTTCAGTCTACTAAAAATCAGTCTGCAAAAATAACAATTTTGGTTATTTCGTTAAATTAAATTAAAATTTATGTATCTAAAGCAATCAGTGGTACTATTCAGTAGATGATAGATTCGTTAAAACACTTGTCCAAGGTACTCAAAAAAACTTTTCAGTTTGTCAATTGAGGCCCTTTTTGACAAAAATATGTGGAATTGAGACAAGTAAAGCAGTCACAATTTATACGTTTAAATTATCTTATTTTGAAGCCTAAGCTGATAACTTTCATTAACGCCAATAAAAAACAAATGCTACAGCTAGGTCAAAGACTTGCGCTACCATAAGCTCATCCATGACTTTGAGACCAAAAAAGAACAGGAAAAAACGTTTATTCTGTTTGTTTTAGACATAGTGATTTCGTTCCGGACCACGTATGTGCACATAGGGGGTGAGGTGGTGAGTGACTCGAAGAGGATCAGGAACAATTACATCAAGGGTTGGTTCGCCCTAGACCTCATCTCCTCAGTGCCCCTGGAGATGATAGACATGATAATAGAGCAGATCGACACCAACGAGAAGGCGGTATGTACTACTACTGGAAATGTCGATTTTGTCTAAACGGCAGCCGTGCTCAACCCAAATGGGCTTGTTGGCTGTCTAACAGAAGTATTTGTTAAAAAAGAGAAATAGTATTTAATTGTTTATAGCTTTATAGCTTTATAAATTTTCTTCTTCTTCTTAAACATCGTAATACAGTGCTGTGCTGATAGATAATTCAAGCTAAAGCAAATTATCTCAAACACAAAAATAATTTTAAAAAGACTACAAAAAGAGGACAAAATCCACTTTGTGTCTTTACTGTAGTTTTGAACCATTTCATCACCAACAAACACGTATCGATATCGCCATTAACTACCGCAGATTTGCGAAACATTGCGAGAATATCTTACATATTTTACTTGCAATATTACATTTATAACGAATTCATGAAAACGTCAAATGTGTTAGAAATTTACTTCAAAAGACTAGGGTATTAATTTGACTTCAAAAAAATTGACATATACTATGAACGAATTAAGGACCATAAGCCGTCTTATTTGTGCTTATCGCAGCAAAATTCTGTGTGAGTTATTTCATCTGTGACTTGTAAGAGATTTGCACTCTTATCAACCTAAATAATTAACTTCAGGGTTAGGCCTCCGGGCTGATTGAGTAAAAAAAAAACGTGAGATATTTCAGATCTTCACTCAGCTGCGCCTGATCAAATTAGTGCGTCTTCTCAGACTAGTGCGAGTGATCAGACGACTGGACCACTACATGGAGTACGCGGGCGGACAACTCCTCATGTTCCTCTCCATCTTCCTCCTCTTCGCCCACTGGTTCGCCCTAGTCTGGTACTCCATCGGCATATCCGAGCAGCATCTGGAGTACAACTGGATCAACGAGATGAGGGATCTAACCATGCGTGAGTTCTAACCATCTAACCAGTTGTGATATAACCAAGTAGTCAATTAGGACTGCGCTCGCTACTTTGAGTGTAGTATTCTTAACATGCTAGCAAATTTCAAAGAAGATCGGCCAAGCGGGGGATAAGAAACCCGGCAAAAGATAAGAAACCCGGCTGCCGTTCAATAGCGCAGAATATTTTGGCAACAATTCTAATATATTTAATTTGCAAATGTCAAACATTCATTGAACATTCACGAAGCTTTTTTTTTTACAAAAAATTTTTTTTTGTGGGTGATCGAGGGCAAAAGGTTCTACCCTGACTCTCTTCGTCTCTTTTTTCCTGAACTTGGAAAAAAACGGCAATAAAAATATATATTTCATGTTTCCAATGAAAAATAGAAAAAATTGAAAAAATATTGGTCACCATTGATGATTTAGGGCTAAATATTTACCCAAATAGCAAATTTCACAGCTGAATTAGCACTGGTTCATAGCTGGAAAGAACAAACTTTTTAGCGAATAAAAACCGAAGAGTTTTTAATTCTTCGCAGTTATAGCAAATGTGAGTGCTGAGTTAGCAATGATTCTTTAATGATTTAGGAATTTATTATTAAAAAGTTTTTAGTTTTTTGCTTTTTGCAAATTTCAGAGCTGGAAGTTTCGTTCGAAATTTTTAAAATTCCACTGAAACTCGGATTTTCTTAAACTTTTCAAAGACTTCAACGTCCGCAGAATCCATTACGATTGCCGAGTTCCCAAAAAAAAAGAGTATTTTTTGAAACCTTTCAAAAAAAATTGAGCTAGAAAACCATTTTTAGCATAAAACAAGACACTCAACAAAATTTTCGAAATTGAAAGTGGATTTTGTCCTCAATTGTTTTTTTTCTATGGGTTATTTATGTTTATGATAAAATCGCTTTGATAAAATATATATATTTCAACGATGAGTTTGCAGTAGTTTATAATAAGATATTATATTTTTCAATAAATAATCGCTGATTTAGTAAATTAGCAACAAAATCATCCGGGAAAATTTTTTGAAGTTGATGCTTGCAATTTTTCATTGAAAATTATTACTGGCAACTCAACTCGGATAGAAAATGGACAATTTTACAAGAAAGATCATCATGCTCAGTATTTGGACATACTTTTTTTAGCCTTTCTATCTTTTCCTTGGCTACGAAATTTTTTAACATATGGAACCTGTGGATATTTTTAGACCATACAGCTCATATGTAACGGGGTTTTAGACAAATTTAAATGGATTTAGACAAATCAAACACTATTTATTTTTTTTTCTGTGAGCACAAAATTCAACTTGAAAAATTGAAACAAACTGTAGCATTGAAAATTTTTCAGAAATAATGTTAGCAACCAGGGGCGGATTTAGGGGGGGGGGGGACGCTTTCTCTTCCTCAGGTATTCGACCCCCTGCCGACCCAAAAGGTCCCTCCTTTGGTACTTTTTAAGAAATTTATTTTTGGCCGACCGACCTTTAAATTTTTCTAAAGGCGCCTTTGGCGCCAATATATACTAACTTTGAGGGGGAGCGCGCGCCAAAAAAAAAACGCGATTTTTTTGTCAAAACTTCCCAAAAAGTGCCCATAAACGGCTTTTGTGACCTGTTTTTTCAAAATTTGCCTGCGGCGCAGAAAATTTGGCCAAAACAGCGTCTTTTGTGCTTTAGTAGAGCTCGGAAAATCAATTTGATCGACCTAAAAAAAAAGGTCGTCAAAATTTTCGAAATTTTTTTAAAATCCGCCCCCCCCCCTCGAGAAATTCCTAGATCCGCCCCTGTTAGCAACCGTATTAAGTTATTTTAACACTGCTTATAACACTATTTTATGTGATCGGCTGAAGTTAATGTCACGACTGTTTTGAGTTTACATCATGACTGGCCGGATTTTACGTCGCGACTTTATGTTGAGCATTTGCGCAATCATCCGGATTATCCGCAAAGGTTCAGTCTGACAATGATCATTTCAGCGATCGTATAAGGACGAATTATAAATAAATAGCATGCCTCAGTCTGAGTGCAATCAACCGAAAATCAAGAAACGTTAAAAAAACATTACTGGAAAAGGCTTATTCTCATTCAAACTAGTTTTTGGATTGCTAGCTAAAACGAAAAACTCACGAAATGAAATAGTTGAAGTTAAAAATCATCGTAAACCATATATTGTCACGATTCGTTCCAATTCTTTGCCACAAACCGCTTGTACATCGAGTACATTCTTTCCGACGTCAAGAGAAAAGTAGCAGCCAGTCTTCTGAGAACCCCCATATAATTGACGTTATCCAAAACCGAAATAAGCTCGTAAATGGACGAAGAGTAAAGGAATATAATAATAAAATATAATAAATTTGTTTCAAGTAGTGCAATAATCCAACAATATAGAGAACTTATCATTGAGAGAGCACCAACTTGAGCAAGCGCAGAAGGTAATTCAACCTGTTGAAGCGCCGCTGAGAACTTTCTATTAAGTATTGTCTCATATGGACCTGATTGTTCAATCTAAGTAACATTCATACAGAAAAAAAAGATAATAGATTTGAAGAAAAAAAATTGATATCATTTCAGCTATCTGTGAGTCTCCGCTGAATGTCGAGGACGTTTGTGACTAGATGAACCGACCTAAGGTTCCTACAAATCCGTATTTGTCTGCAAAAAGTTTCTCGGAGTAAGATTAAAATTAAGACCATTTATCCACATGGGAAAGGACCAAAACAAGAGCTGTACAGCTCATCACGGCAAACCGCTGTTGCGCCCCTGTTTAAGAACTACATGCAATTTTTTTGGTTATTTTTTTGGGCTGGGTAATGTTGCTTCACCCTCAAGCAACGAGCACGGATCATGGTGGACCTCGTACATCCGACCTTCCGATTGAGAGGCGGAGGTGTAACCACTTCACCGCCGCTCCCCTAAGTCATCAAAGCCCTATAAATGTCCCAATAATACAAATTACTTAAAATTTTTAAAATTTAAAAACTTATTAATTATTCTAAAATATATATAAGATATGCAGCAAGAAAAATTGTCGACGAGACACGTGCAATTGAATAGCATGCTTGGAGTGTGTGAATATGGAACAAAGGTATCCGAAAGTTTTGACATACTGTCAGAAATTAAACAGAGGGAAAAGCCTTACCAGTAAGTCATTTTGGGTGTAAAAATTTTTCTGAAAAGTGATTGGCAGCATTTTTTCCATTCAATTTTTGGTTCGCTTCCAGTACAACAACTATTTTTAGCGCACAAAAACTACTATTTTTATCTTTATCTAAACTTGAACAAAAAAAGTCAACTGGAGTTTTGAAGAATGAAGTCTTGAGTTTCTGAAGTCTATCTAGAGTTTTGAAAATGAAATATTCATCGTAATGTTGTTACCGCTTTACTTCAAAAAGCTAGTTTACTCTGTATAACGTGTCAAAACTCCAAAAAATGTGACTCCAAAAATGTATTATTCAGAATTGGTTCAATTTGCATGCACTATTTACCTATGACCGCCTGTCAAAAGATCAGTAGGTCTAAGCCCAAAGTATGTCTTATAAATTTTAGTCGACTCAACGAGACTTGCTGCCGAAAGTAGGTTTTCAACATCTTCCAAAGACACAGAAACCGTTTGGTGATTGAACAAAATTCGGTTTTCATTTTTGCAAGTTAAATTCAGGAAATGTCTTTCAGCATAATTTCTCGGGTTGGGAATAAGAGCAACTGGATAGTGGAAAATTTGCATAGACCCATTAACATCCGTATATGGAAAAGGAATAATGTAATTCAAGGTTGAACACTGCTTGAAAAAGTTTCTTAGCTTCCTCAATGAAAGTAAGAATATTTTGAACAATAACTAGAGTCAAAAATGATCCAAGAAACAAAACACACAAATAACCCAAAAAAAATGTTCGTTTTCACTTAAGCTTTTGAAAAGAAGTGCCAATGAAGGGAAGATGATAAAAAAAGTTGCTCTGTGATGAAAATTTCATCAAACCAGGTGATTTTTCAAAGGTTCTCTTTTCAATTCGTTAAGAATGTAAAATAATTATCGATATTGGAATTACGCACCTGATTTACCTTTCAATAAAACTTTTTTCACGTATTGCTTTTTACTTAAAGGTCACTCTTCACTTTTGTAGTTAATTTTTATTTGTTTTTGCAATTAGTTCTTTCATCTTTCCATCTGCCTTCTCTTTAAGACGCAATTGGAAGCTGAACAGCCGTTTTGCCTTTACGCATTATTTTAATCAGGGACCTCTAATTTTCTAAAATATACTGTTTCCATCATTTAACGTAAAAATTTGTTAAATTTGATAGCAAAATGTGTTAGAAACGACTAAAAAAATACCAAATTTTTTACAGCGAAAAGTTTAGCTGCCAATGGAAATCATTTTTTAAAATCTGCATTATGCCATAATTGTTATGATTGCAATGCTGTAACGGTTGCATTAAAACCATCCGGAAAACAAAAATCAATCGAAATTCCCAAGAAGTTCAAAATAATAGTTTGTGCACTGATGCAGGCGACGGTTAAGGATTAAGGATTTTTAGAGCAATCTTTTACAAAAAACAGAAGAAGGTGGCCAAAACAAATGAAGAAAATCTTGAAATTTTTATAGTTCGAAAGCGAAGCACTTTTTGCATCACTCTTGCATCACTCGTGAAATTGAAATCAAAAATTTTGTTAGAGGAACAATTGTTCCAAACTGAATTGAGGCAGGATTTTAGAGTTAAAGATATTTTACTAGGTGGCAACTACATCTTTTTTTACTTGGTATAACGTGCGATTAGAGGATTTTTTTATAAGTTTTTAAAAAGATTCAAATTTTTTGGATTTTTTTTCAAAAACGTTGAAAGACAGTCAAAACATTCAGGCCTTTGCCCTAAATGAGCAGTTTTGTTCGTCTTTCCCAGTCAAAATTTGATTTATTTTGATTTATTTAGATCGCAGATTAGATTGGAATTCATGAAAAAAACGAGATAAGGTGCAAATCAGTTCATCCAGAAATCGGTCAATATCTAAG